TGATCAAATAGCATAGAAAAATAGAACATTCTTTTCTCTATCAGACTATATAAAAAGAAAGTTTCTTTAACCTTTCTATAAGGGATAAAAATACCACTGCCACTACTTTTGGTATGCCCTAAGTAATTGCTTGTTTTGTTCAAGCTCGATGGTGAACCGAAGATTGGGATGCCACTTATTGATCCGTTCAAGAAACGCGTGGATCTCTTCGACGTTGATTTCGAATATACAGAAGACATCATCTACATACCTCAGCCAGATCTTCGGTCGGTTCGTTGAGAACCGATTCAGTTTCTGTTCCATTTTTGTCATAAACAGATCGGCAAGAATGGGTGCCAGTGGACTACCCATGATCACTCCGTCGATTTGAGAATATTGATCATTGAGGAACCGGAAGGGTATGTCTCGAACTGCAAAGTTCAAGAGTTTCCTCATTTGATCTCGATTCAGTGCACTGTCGACTTTGGTCGGTTTCTTGTAGAGTTCGTCGAGTGCTATTTCGATGGCTTCGGAGACAGGAACGTTGGTGTAAAGAGATTCAACATCGAAGCTGCACATGGTTTGTGCATCGTTGGAAGGAAATTTGCGAATGCTGTCAACAAACGTAAACGAATCCTTTACAAAGGAAGCAGGTCGCTCAGTTCGATGTTGAGACAGCAATTCCGCAAGATATTTTGACACTTGGTAGTTGTAAGAACCGATTGAGGAGATGATGGGTCGCATCGGATAACCCACTTTATGCGCCTTCGGCTGTCCATACATCACCGACAAGGAGGCCGAGGTTGAGTGTAACCGCCAAAATAGCTTCTTTTCGATCAGTCCATCGTTGTATAGTTCTCGGAGATAGGCATTCAGTTCCTTCTCTTTACATTCCAATCCCATTTTCTTGTTGGTTATTGGTTGGAATTGTTTGCCAGAGAGAATGGTTTGTGCGCGACTGACGTAATCATTCTTGTTCATCACGACGATAGCGTTGCCTTTATCAGCACGACTTATGACAATGTCATTGTTCTGTTTGAGGGTGTGTAGGGCTAGAACTTCTTCGTCGGTCAGATTACGGAGTTTCTTCTTGCGCATGGTTAACAGATGGGTTCCAGCAGCAGTGCGTTCTGTTCAATGTCCGTTTTAAAGTTCAGGAAGTTGCGTAGACAATTCTCGATACAGAATCCGCATCCTCGGCACAAAAGTCGTTCTTCGGCATCGTTCAGAACGTACGATTATATATTGTGTACAACTTTGCTCTTCATAGCTAAGAAGTCTTGGCCAATGGGACCCTTTTTGAACTGTTTCAGTTTCTTCTGGTGAATCTGCTTCGTTCGATTGCGTTGATGGGTGGCTGTTTGGTGTAGATGTTTCTTGATGTTGCAATAGTCTACAGGGCGTTCAATTTATTTTGAAACAAGTTGCACCGGACATTCCTCTAGTGGTGCATAGGCCTTATTGTGATAGATGTTCAATGTGTGACCCGTGAGCATAGTAAATTAATCTACCACGATTGTCCTATGACATTCTGCTCAAGGTTTTGCCACTCCTGTTGAATGGTATTTTTCAGTCCGTTCAGCGTTGACACTTCGTGCTTCCGTACACGGTTTTCCAAGATACCCCAAATAGAATAGTCCATCGGTGCTGCGTCGGGGCTCTTTGCCAACCATTCATCATGTGTCATAACTTGGATTTTCGTTCGTTCAAAAAAGCAATTGTTTGTATAGCCGCATGTCCCGGTGTACTGTCTTGATGAAAGACAAGTTTCCTTCACTCGTCACCGGGAAAGAAACGTGGAATATCAAATTCGTTGAATCCCATTCCGTGAAGTGTAATCGAGTTTTACCCCGAGCAGAGACATCAGCCCAAACGAGCGCTGACGCAGAGTTTAGCTCGTTTCGCTCAATTTTTCGAACTACTTCCGGCAATCCATCACCTCTGATGTAGTAAACATCGAGAACACCTTGACTCGCATCCAGATAAAACCAGGCTTCGTCGGTGGTCACGTAGTTTCTCCATCGTTCATTGTAGTCGGCGATACATACGTCACGATCGAGATCGTCGCTTTTCCATTCAATCCGGAGATAAAAGATGCACTGGCCTCTTCTTCCGACATTTTGAGTGAATAATCTCACGAATGATACGAACTGTCTGTCCACAAAAGAAGACACAAAATTTTCCAAAAATACAGCTTGTGTTCTCTCGATGTTTTTCCGCCAAGCTTTAGCACTAGACAAATGAACTCATATACCACTCGATAGAGCTTGATCTGCTCTACAAAACTGGGTGTATGAGATTGTGAATGCATCTCGAAATAGGATCGAAAGGGCCAAAATACATGCGCTGATCGTCGTTTCCGATTTCGTCCGTTCTTCAGTATTTCGATCAGATCTCCGAGTGAGGAAAGGACTTCCACCTAAACTCTAGCATCAGATTGTAGCCCATTCAACTCTGCATCGAATGGTGGGTCGGGCTCTGCTCCGAAACGTGCGCGTGTTTATGATACCCAAGGGCGAACAGTGACCACTGACACTATTTCTAGTATGCTCCTCATCGAGTTTAAGTGTATTCTCCGTCATAGGAATTGATCCACCGGATCCGTTCGGACCACGATCGATAGAGCTCAATGTGCTCTACAAAACTGCATATGCCACGTTTCCACACGATCCTTCGATGGAACGAAAACGGCTCAAATACTGTATTTTTGACTTCACGAATAGTCGAGGTCATATTTTTGGCAAAGAATCATGTCCAGGAAGATATTCGAAAAGGGAAAAGCAGAGATTGTAGCCCGTACAATTCTGCATCGAATGCGATAACGCACATGAACTGCAGTTACTTCATAGCGAAGATATGCAGAGTTCAAAGCTGAGCTCTGACATCATACAAATCATCGAAACCAACCTGAGCATTCCAACTACTTGCATTCTGCAGTTTTTCGTCCCCCATTTGAATCAAGATTGTATCATGTCATTCTACCACTTCTCCAGTAAGGAAACTATAATAACTCAAGGTGAACAAGTAATGTGGGTCTAGTCTACCCAACAGTTTTATGCTCGGTTATCAAAAAATTCACTCTTCGGCTATTGCTGAACCTGGTCAGTGTTTATATCTGACTAAGATGTTGTGGTCATCTGATGAATAATGGTAACTGGCTCTCTGTTGCCGTTTCAGGGTTGAAATATTTTTCGTTTTCCGGCGGCCACTGAAACCGAATACTCTTTTGACGAAATATATTTCCACGTTCGATGTGTGCTCTGCACTCATACTACATCTCGGAGCAACTTCGGCCTTGGAAAATAGTGACAGAATATTTTGATAGTGGAATATTAGTCTGCGCACATTTGGAGTCATTTTTTAATCGGAATCTACTAGCGAATGTCTATCTCGATGTCACAATTTATGAGAAAAATTATTTTGCCCACCCACGACTGTCGGGTTGTATACAAGGGTAGAGAAAGGAGAAGATTACGTTCTCAGAATTTCGGACGGAATAAGAACGAATAAAGAGACACTAAATGTGGCAGTCGCAACACTTATGTGTAACTAGCAGAGATGGGCAACTCCGATCCGGAGTTGGAGTCAAATCCGGAGTTGACGATTATTTGATCTGGAGTTGGAGTGGAGTTGGAGTAAGACATCAAGGTCTCAGGAGGGAGTTGAAATGAAATTTTCTAACTCTACTCCGGAGCTGGAGTGGAGTTGGATTGGAAATTTGCGATTTGCTTTGGAGTTCGCGTGGAGTTGAATTTCGTTCCGTTCTGCCTACTCCGATTGAACTCCGATAGATTTCGTTTGTCGGACACTTTTCTAGGCGAAAAGACGTCAGGGATGATTTGGCAATAATGCATGTGAGTGTTACTGTTGGACTGAAAGTGTTTGTACTTGAATACTTTATAATCTTTCCATCAGTTTCGATGGGAGAGAGAACCCGAGAAAGATCGACGATGAAAAATGGAAAAAAAAACTGTGAAGTAAGCCGTGTGCTGTGAAACATTAGGCTTATATATGAATTTCGCCATCAACAAAAATGAAAAATATACCTTCTCAACAAGATGAAATGAGATCTGACATGGTAAGTTTTGGAGTTGGAGTCAGAACGGAGTTGGATTGGGAATTAAAAAACGGATTTAGAGTTGGACCGAATTTTTTAAAAGAAGGCTGGAGTTGGAGTTGGATTGGTTTTTTGAAAACAGCGTTGGAGTTGTGGCGGAGTTGTTTTCTTTTGAAGTTGGAGTTGGAGTGGCACATGGCCGGAGTTGCCCATCTCTGATTGATGATATGAGTCTATCCCGCGCGTGTATGAGCTTTACGCTCGCTGCGGTGTGACCAGGACGGTTCCCGGTCGCGCGCACGCGCGAATATCTAATAGAGCGATCGATCTAGGGGGGTGAGAATAAAAAAATGCTTTTATTGAATAAGAATCAGTTTCAATCATGCACACACACAACAAACAAGGGAAAAATCAATTTGAGCGTTCATGTTGTCTATTGAATAATATTAAATTTTTGTACTCTATGATTCATCTTATCGACGACATAGAGATTGCCTTCTCGATCGAATGACAAACCGACGGGCCCAGTGAGCTGGTTCGATTGTTCTCCTTTACCGTTTCCACCAATAATCACCCTTCCCTGTGTGGCTCCTTTGACTCAACGCATGATTCGACTATTCAAGTGATCAGTCACATAGACAGTGCCCAATTGATCGACAACGACTCCTTGAGACCACTGCAATTGTGTAAGACCATTTCCTTCTCCTTGACCACCAGCCACGAGAATGCCTTGTTTTGCACCTTTCACCCATTTCATCACTCGAGGATTTAACCAATCAGACACGTACACTGAATGATCTCGATCGACGAATACGTAAAGTGTGGCGGAGAGTTGATCTAGACGATTTCCATATCCATTGCCACCTGCAACCACGGTTCCTTGAGATTCTCCTCTTCGATATCGTCTCACTTCATGTTTTCCTTGGTCAGCGACATAGAGAGATCCATTCTCGTCCATTGTCAAACCTACACAATAGACGTTGGAGATGATTGTTTCTCCACTTGTCCCATTTCGACGAGGCCATCGAACTACTCTGCTATTGTCATAATCGGAAATGATGAGACTATCTCTCTCTTTATCAACAATCACATCTGTTGGACAATACAACTGATGAGCTCCACTTCCTTGTCCATTTCCACCTGCAACCACTTTGCCACTCTTCGCACCCGATTTCCATTCGACAATACGATGATTGCGGAAATTAGCGATATAGATTGTTTGCTCATCATCAACATACAAACCCCATGGGTAGAAGAGTTGATTGCTTCCATTGCCTTGTCGATTTCCTCCAGCAACAGTGATACCACTCTGTTCCCATCGAGCATTTGGATGAATATCAATTGTAGGCGCTCGTAGTGGTGGTACTTAAAATAGAAAGAAAAATATTATGAATAGGAGATGAAAATCTATATATTTTTTTGTTTTGAAGTTAAGAAATATTTTAGTGACGGAGATACACTGCAATTTTTTTTGTTTAAATTCTACTTTTCGAAAAATCGATCTTTATGATTTTTGAGTATCTCGAAACTGTTTGATTTTTTAGATGATAAGTGGAAAATCAACACTGATTGCATACGTATTTGAAAAAAGATTAATAAAAGAATTTATTCTTTTTAAACTACAATAGGGCTCAAACAGACAGAAAAGAATAATAAGACGATTTAAGTCGGAATAGATCATAGTACATTTTCTATTTTCTAGAAAATGTTTCCGATCAACTATAAAATATTTCTTCCTGAATAGCAGAGAAGATTTTATTAATATGCGATCAGGCTTAAGCAACATTTGACTTAGGTCCTAAAGTTAAAAATCTAGTCTAGGCTTCCACCAGGGTAAAAGTGGGATTTTCAGAGAAAAAACATTTCCATAAAACACTACATCAAATCCTATCTGAGCGGTCGATAGAAGATTGGGAGGTTATACTTAAAATTATCTAGCATGCTTTTCCAGGAACTTTCGTCGTAATTTTGACAGCGAAGCATTATGATGAGAAGTGCGATGCTTGTAACAGCATATTATAAGGTTTTGATCAAAAGTTTGTGCGAATCATCTTCTTAGGATACTAGGAAGATTTTAGCAACAAAAACAATGAAGAGTATTTCTATAATCTTAATCTGAGTCAACATCTCGCAGATAGTGTTAAGTAGTACCAGTCATCACTTACTAGTAAGTGGTCAATGAAGAAGATTACTATGCGAGAATAAATAACCAATAGTTGAACTAAGCATTTACGCGTTGTAATGTAGAAAATTTTCAACCTTAAAAACGCTTACCATTGCCTTTGTAAGTGGAAGTTGTGGGAACTGGTGATATAACAACCGTATTATCTAAGCGTTGTCCAGAATCAGCAAAAGTATGGCGCTTTCCACTACTACTAACATTTGAATATAGATAACACCAACGCGTCTTCCGAAACCAAGTAAAGGCTTTACAGTTGGGTTTTTTAGAACATTAAGCGCAACAATTTTCATAAGTGTTTTGTTTCATTCGATTGCCAATAGATTTTCCCATGTACGTCGAGTTCGTTGTGGAGGCGAAGTTAGAACACATTTCATGCGGTACAACGACCGCCCAACATATAACTAACATAAGGACAATGTGTTTCATTGGTACGCTTTATTACGATAGGTCTGTAAAGACAAGAAAGAAAACCGGTCAACACAATCAGTGGAAAAAGTAATACATAATAATTCTATTGGATATGATGGAGCATGAATTTACTATACGAATCACTCATTTTGAGTACGAAAAAAACTTCAAAATCGAAAGGGATTTCTTTTTACAATTTTTGCAAAATTTTTTCTTGCTTATCTCTTAAAAAGAAATTCAAGACTTCGTTATTTTTCTCAACCGAGATACATTTGAAATACAAAATATTGCAACCATTTTGCTTCACCAGGTACTACTATCGGCGCCAAAAGTCAGTGCACTCGAATGTTTTTTTAAATAACTTTCAATAGCAGCATGACAGAGATCTGCAGTTTTCAGTGTTTGATAGCCAAGACCAAAGAGCAAATTTTCATAAGCAAAGTTCTTTCTGAGAAAAAATCTAAAGACCAGTTTTTCGAAGGATCTTTTAAAAAACACGATAGATTTCTGAAAATTGTCATAGAAATCTATTGACTTTTTTACATATTCGGAATCAGCATCAAGAACTGCATCGACTCATATATTTTTCCAATATTTTAATGAACTTTCTTTTTTGTCGAAAAACTCATCTCTAGAGTATCCTCAGGGTCTATCAAAGATTGAATTCAGTCAGAAGACCTTTTATGCTGTTTAGTCATTTGCCGTTTTGTGTCTTACTCGCATCTGCTATCATTTTACAAGCTACAGACCTGCCTTCCATTGTTCAAATGACTTTTTGACCGAATCCAATCTTTGACATGACTCTGTGAGGGTAAGGTGCACGGCATGCAGAGTTGCAGTAAAAAATAGATTTGGCTGATTAATACCCCACTTTTTAGAGCATTCAATGGCGACTACGAATATGACAGCCCGGTCCTCCAAAGACCTTCCTTCGCTGAGTTAATTGCAAAACACTGTAAGGGTCCAGAAAATTTTTCAACTCAAGGCAAGTCAAGTCTGGTTAAAAATTAGACAGAAAATCAAATTTGACAGCATCTTTCGGGCGAGCGATATATTTTATACCGTCAGAACTCTATTTTATGATGAAAACTGCATAAAATAAAGGAAAATTCCTTACTATATGACTTGATTTGAAAAGTTGTTTCAAGTCAAGTCACACTTGACTTGAGACATTTTTTATTGGACTTGTCCAGCTCTGTATCTAGATCAGACTGATATATAAGCAGACACAAACGTACCAAAAAACAAGAGCAAATTGCAGAAATTATTTAAAAATCAACTAATACTGGATTGTTTAATCGGTGTTTTCTTTTCTTTATCCTAGGAAAATTGTTTGATTATCAACGGGAAACGTCTCCGCTAATCGGGAGAACTTCTGAATTGTCAATGGCCTTATAGCATCCATTCTGATTAAAACACATTCTGACTCTTGCTAAGATAATGTTTTTGAATCAAAATTTGAGTCAAAAAAGTGCCTCATATCTATGAATGCATTCGTCAATAAGGCGTCCCAATAAAAACTTTATCAATTTGGTGTCCTAATAACTATCACAATTTCCACCAAAAACCAGAGAAGCATCTCGAAAAAGTGAATATGAGAAGAATCTCTAATATCGATCGACTACTTAAATTCACCAAATAATTTAAACGTCGTACTACATAATGTGGAACGTCGAAATATGTTTTCGCTTGTATTTATATGAAAAAATCCTTTGAATATACAGAAGAGAAAGAAAGAAACGAAATCATACCCAAACTCAAATAATTTGATGAGTTCCAATGGTAGACCAAAATCCAAAATGAAAATTATTAGATTAAACCTAAATCCAACTCTGAAATGGCTTGAATTTGGTAAATTGCTAATTAGTATCGAAAGTTTTGATGGATATCGATATTGAAGTACGGAACTTCACGAGTGTTCTTTATAATTTTTTTCTATTTTTTTTAAGATGATGAATATGGACAACATGAGCCAAAAGAAAGAAATAACATCCAAACTTACTTCTGATAATGACGTTAGAGCAATTCTGATATGTATACATGCGGGTATGTATATATGGCGTGCGAATAATATCTTGCTTATGTTTCAAATGGTTAGTGATAAATCGTTTCTACTCGCATAAAGATTATCATCAGTCGAATCTATATGGGCTTGTTTTCATCTTCTCTCATTACTAAACTTTCTTCTCATTGATGATTGATACTGCTATCTAATTTTACATGGTAGAAAATATTGCTATGATATACTCCGCAGCAAAGTAGTTGATAGAGAAACAGAAAAAAAAGAACTGACTTTCTGTTCTATGAAAATAACATGCTTTAGTAGAAGAAGATAATCTGAAAGATTTTTCCACATCCTAGCGAACATCTGGATTATATGTATACTCAATAATGGGTTATTTGTTTTTTCTTTCTTCTTATTCTGTCGTCATTACAGATAACCAAATTGGAAAGAACTCTTATTATGGAAACAAGGAATACATGGATCACGTTGCTTCCTTTGCTTCTTGTTCTTCCATGTTTGTACTAACAAAGTAAGAGAGAAGAAGAGCAATGAAACATTGAGAAAATGTAATCAAAAACTGAGAATATCCATCGAACGAAATAATGAATTATATATGTTAAATGGTGAACGCTGAAAATAAGAGAAAAGTTTCGAGAACAACTCAGTCATTATTTTCCTATTACATATTCCAATAATCATTAGAACAAGTCACTCTTTATAAATGTACGATAGAAAACAGCACGTTCAATCACTTGAGAAAATGCTAAAGAGATGCGTTAAAAATTATTTTTCAGAAAAAGAATAGTGTCAGGTAATCTGTTTCAATGAAGAAAGACATTTAGAAAGGCTCACCGATAAAACTCTTTGAAATCAAACAAAACGACACTTCGAGGGTGGGTGAGGGTGAGGGGTGTGGGTGAGTAGAATGTGGATAAGCGGTTTCATGACAAGCGCTTGTTTCGATCTTGCTCAAGGATCTCATCAGATGGATTATTGATATTATATCTCTATCGAGTAATTCTTCTTAATCTAAGACATTTGAATTACCCAGGGATACAATAATCAGATTGTTCAAGGAACATTTCCACATGTCTATATATTCAACGATATATAGTACGATAGAATTAACCTTTTGACGGGCGGTGGTCCATATATGGACCATTTTTTTTGTTTATTACGATAGAATTGTGCCCATAATAGCTAGAACAAATTTGAAAAAGGATTTGAACAGCTGAAAGAATTTCCGACCTGGGCTGCTGTATAAAATGGTTCTATCAAAACTGTTGAAA